AAGGCAGAAATACAGAGTGAGAGGAGAGAGAGAGATCTTAAATCCACTGATTTACTCCCCAAATAGCTGCAATAGCAAGGTCTGGGCCAGACTGAAGCCAGGAGACAGGAGCTTCCCCCAGGTCTCCCATGTGGGTGCATGGGTCCAGGTACTTGGGCCATCCTCTGCTACTTTCCCAGGCACATCATTAGGGAGCTAGATCAGAAGGCTCCCATGTGGGAGCAAGTAGAGGCTCAACCTTCTAAGCCACAGCACTGGCCCCTCAAAGTATTTTTTGATTCTCTATTCAGATGTGCTCATTAAAACAGACACCAGTGTGATAACTCCTATATATAGTTGATTTAATGATTACAAAATTCTTGACACCAAATAATTGAATTACATTCAGTTCTATAATAGTATATTTGGATTTCTTAAAAAATCACTATACTATGTAAATATTGGACAATAAAAAATTTAAGGTTTGTAGGAAAGATGGGGATGGGGTACAACAGGTAGCAACATCATGTACATTTTATGTATGATTATAAATTTTTTATTCCAAAATAAATTTATCTTTTAATTCCATTTTCCATGAGTATTTTGAAGTCTATTCATACCACAATAAATATGGCAGTTCACCTTTGAAAAGACTTGTGAAAGTGGCTTCAGGAACTTTGTAACATGTGACTTATTGGGAAGGGTAGGGAGTCATTAAAATATCAGCTGTGATTTCATTTTTTTTTTTACTGCTGTATAGTATTCTATAGAGTACATATCCCATAAAAATGAAATCTGGTCATTTGCAACAAAATGGAGGAATCTGGAAAACATCATGCTAAGTGAAATAAGCCAGTCCCAAAGGGACAAATATATGTTCTCCCTGATCTGTAACAACTAACTGAGCACCAAAAAGGAAACCTGTAGAAGTGAAATGGACACTATGTGAAACAATGACTTGATCAGCCCTTGTCCTGAGTGTGGAGGAACAACTTACTATTTTATTCCTTTCAGTATTTTTTTGTTCTACTTGAACTCTTTAATTAACACACAATTATTCATAGGTGTTTAAATTTAACTGAAAAGTGATCCCTGTTAAATATAAGAGTGGGAATAAGAATGGGAGGAGATGTACAGTTTGGCACATGCTCACCTGGACTTACCCCTAATGGTAGAGCTAGAAACGTGCCAGGGGATTCCAATTCAATCCCATCAATACCATCTTACTAGTCAAAGTAATCAGTTTCAGTTCATAATTGATGATAATGATAGGAGTAAGTGTCAAAGGGATCACATAAACAAGACTAGTGTTGCTAATACTAACTGATATAATTAAAAAGGAAAGAACGATCCAACATGGGAAGTGGGATACACAGCAGACTCATAGAATGACAGATGCCCTAAATAGCACTCTGGCCTCAGAATCAGCCCTTAAGGCATTCAGATCTGGCTATAAAGCCTGTGAGAGTATTTTAGGCATGGAAAGCCAAGACACTGTGGCAAAAAAAAAAAAACAAAAAAACAAAACACCTAAATGAAAGATCTCTGTGATTGAGATCCCAGTGGAAAGAATGGGCCATCAAAGAAGGAGATGCCTTTCTCTGAAGGGAGGAGAGAACTTGCACTTTGACTATGGCCTTGTGTAAATAAGATCGGAGTTTGTGAACTCAAAAGGCTTCCATAGCTTTGGCAGCTCATGATAAGAGCCTAGGGTGATTACTGACGTCATAAATAAGAGTGTCAATTGTTAAATCAACAATGGTGTCACTGTGCATCTACTCCCCATGTAGGATCTCTGTCCTTAATGTGTTGTACAATGTGAATTAACAGTAAAACTAGTACTCAAAGAGTACTTTATACTTTGTGTCTCTGTGTGGGTGCAAACTGTTGAAATCTTTACTTAGTATATACCAAGTTGATTTTCTGTATATAAAGATAATTGAAAATGAATCTTGATGAAGAATGGGATGGGAGAAGGAGCGGGAGAGGGGAGGGTTGCAGGTGAGAGGGAAGTTATGGGGGGGGGAAGCCACTATAATCCAAAAGTTGTTTTTGAAATTTATATTTATTAAATAAAAGTTTAAAAAAAAGCAAAAAAAATATCAGCTGTGAATGGGAGTGACTTTTCTAGGCTGAAGTTGGGGGAGGTCCAGGGAGAGTGAGGTAGCTGGTGAGTGAAGTGTGCATTTCTAAGCTGCTTGTTTCAGCTGAATAGTTTGCTACATTCACCTTGTGTTTCTCCTGGACAAATTACACAAAAGCAAATTGTTCTGAAACATGCCAATCATGTTGGAGCAAATTTGTGGTTTCAAAACAAGTATTACAGAGGAATTCACCATGTTATAATCTCCTCTTTAATACTTTTCTTGTCTATGATCTCACCTCATGCTTGCCACAACCTTAGCCAGCAGGGAAGCAATTGCCAGACCATTTGTTTGTTGGGAAATTCTGACATGTTAAAAACCATGCAATGACTGAGGGCACCTCTGCCACACCTTGCATGAATCTGTGCACATCCTGGACAAGTATATTTTCCTCTGAAAAACAGGACACTTGTTAATGTAGGCACAGAAAGCACAAGACATGTACACAAGGTCATGGAGACAGATCACAGAGGCTGGATTCAAACCTGAGTCTCCCGATCTTCTGTTGAGAAGCTTCAGTTCAGTACTTTATCAAATGCTTGCTGGTGCCCTTTTCTCTCCTGTATTATCAATTTACCACACATAGCTAATGCAAAATTCACTGCTCATTATGTGTATCTAAAATTCCAGCCGTGAGAACTTAGTTTATAATTTATTTTTAAAAATTTATTTATTTGAAAGGCAGAGAGAGAGAAAGAGAGAGAGGGAGACAGACTCTTCAATCCATTGGTTCACTCTCCAAATTCCATCAACAGCTGAGGCTGGGTCAAGCTGAAGCCAGGAGGCTGCAACTCAATCTAGTCTCCCATGAGGGTGGCAGGAATCCAGCTACTTAAGTTATCACCTGCTGCCTGTCAGGTTTAGCAGGAAGTTGAGATTGGGAATGGAACAATGACATGAACCAGGCTCTCTGATATATATGGGCATCCCAAGTAGTATCTTACTGGTTGTGCCAACTGCCCACCCCCACTTTATAACTTTTTATATAGCTATATTGAATATTTTAGAAGATGTAAAATGTTTTAGAAAATGTTTTTTGACCAGACTTCCCAACACAGAGGTCATGTCCAAAATCAGGGTGTTTGTCAGTTAACTAATCTGGTAATGTCTCTCCATTTCTAGGAGGCTGTCAGATGAGTTTCAAAGACTAATGATGAAGGATATATCTAAAAAATCTGTCAATGACTTTGTCTTTAAAGATAAATTGATGTAGGAAATGCAATTATTAGATAATTTCTGTCTACACCTACCCTAGGTTATATCAGCCAGCTGTATTTCCAGAAGATTTGAGCTTATTAGGTACCTCCTGTGGTCAAAGCAGTTCTCAATACTTTCGAAGACCTGAACAAGAGGACAGGATGTTGCCTCTGCTCTCAAGGAGCTGATCCGGGGGTTCTGTTTGATGACTAAGAAATATCCATCATGGCACTGATTTTTATGCCAGAATGTATGTGTATACAAGAGCACAGATGAGTAACAAGAGTTTGCTCTTTAGTACTGGTTAAGTTGGTAGGTGTGCATTATTTCATGATTACTGTGTGTTGTAATTCCTGAATTCAGCATTGACACTAAGGAACTTTTTACAAAAAATATCCTACATTGAGCCTTCGTTTTTTAAGCATTATAAGTTTATTTATAGTTATGTGTTGAAGGGTTTTCTTGTATGTAAAAACCACACATTCCAGGGGTTATCCAACTGACAACAGTACTGTTCCTATGGAGTCAACCAGGTTTGTGTTGTCTGTTCTGATCATGATGTCTGTCAGGTGGATAATATTCTTTCTCCAGCCCCTTAGAGGTGAAAACTCTTAGATACTTCTATTTAAAACATTCTTTACATGAATCAAACAAGCAATTATGTAAATGACTGTCTTAGTCAGCTCAGGCTGATAAATTACCATAGATTAGGTGCCTTAAGCAGCACACATTTATTACTCTCAGTTCTGGAGGCTGAAACTCCAAGGTCAAGGTGTTAGCATGGGTCTTCTTCCAGGATACAGAAAGTCAACTGTTAGCACCTTCATATAGTAGAAAGAGGACTGCTTAGCTCTCTGGTCTCTGGTTTCACCCTCATAATCTAATTACCTTCTAAAAGCCCCACCTCCAAATATCATTGCATTGGGATTAGATTGGAAATAAGAATTTTGGAGGACACAAAGTTCAGTCCATAGCAATGACCAAACAAGGTTTCACCCTTTCTGATGAATTAATGTTTTTTTTCTTTTATTTTAATACAGACACAAATATACTAATGTGGCTACTGTAATGTATAAATGTTTGAGAACAATGTCAGAGTTTAAATTTATATCCCATTTTGAATGTGAAACCAAGGATACTCCTTTCCTTCTCTTCCCTCAACCCCGTTAGTTTCATAGTATGATTTTTCTGTTTTAAGTCATAATTGCTTTTATGAGATTAAATATCAGGTCAACAAGCATGTTCTGTGTCACTTTGTCCTAAACTCTCTGCCTTCTCTTTAAAGGGAGTTCTCAAAAAGGGAGGAATAAAAATGTTTTAAAATAAACATTCTTACTGCCAAAATATGATGTAAACTTCAGATTCAATTTATGTGTGGTAGAAATGAGAGTAATTAGTGGTCTCTTTTTTGACAGCATGAATTTCTTGCTTTTCAATGATTTCAGTTGATTAATAAGTGAGGCTAAAATACCTACTTTTCCTTACCCTAAACATGGACTAAAAGTCTTGTTTAGAATATTGATTAGGCTGTCAAATATAGGTTAGTTTCACTTGTCAAGGGTATACAAGATCCAGAAGAAATAAGGTTACAGACATATTAAGTATAAATATCTCCTACCCCCTTATTATATTAATCTCACCCACCTTCACCTATTACCTATTTTGTTTTATTTTTTTCAGGGAAGCAAAAAAATTTGTGAGTGAAAATGAAGGTGCTCTTGGGAAAGGAAAAGGCAAGCGGTGGTTTGCCTTTAAGATGATGATGGCCAAGGTGAGTGTTTTCATAACTCAGTCTGGTCTATGCCAGATTGCACCCAAGAAGGACAACATGGGTTCCATTCCAAGGGGTGAAAAAAACTGACACTTTATATATATATATGTACATATATACATATTATACAACATATAATATTACATATGTAAATATATATTTTTATATATTATATAATATATAAAACATATAATAATATATATAAATATATACATATATATAAAGCACAGGTAAGCATACTTTACAAAATAGTTTAGCTGTGGTATTGAAAATTATGGGGGGATGGGGAGAGTTTAAAAATGAAAAAAAATTGTCCTTCAAAGAAGTCAAATAAAAAATTATCCAAGAAGCACCGATATGAAGCAAAAGACTGGAGTGACTTTATCACTTCCAAATGAAAAAAATAATTGTTTCCCTTTCATTTTCATTCTCTGGAAATTAAGGAGTTTTGGTTTAAATTTTTCTCTCAAAATGTTTCCATGTTGCTGAGCCACATAGCTTTTCTCTACCAGGAACATCAGTTATACATTGGGTAGAAAATAAGATAAAAATAAATCAGATACTGATGCAAATATAAATTTTTGGCACAGAAAGAAGAGAAACCAACATTTATTTAGCACTAGCTTTGTGCCAAGAACTGATTTTAAATCTTTTATAAAGTTATATTTAATTCTAGAGTAAAGCAGATACATAGGTATTATCCCCCCTTATAAATGTTAACAACTGTAAGCTAAATATATTCCCAGATAAATGAGTCCTGTGAATAAAGTTCCTGTATCTTACTTTTCTTGTGCATCTCTCTGTGTGTATTTACGATAGATTGTGTCTGCTTTTACCATTCAAATAGTGGAATCATATAATACTTATGTTTTTGTTTCTGGCTTCTCTGATATTCTATTACATTCATGAGATATATCCATGTTGCTGTGGGGGTTATATTTAATATTTATAATTTTTGTTGATATATTATATTATACATATAAAGTTATTACATGTGAACATTTGGGCCCTTCTACTTTTTGGTAATCTTGAACTTCAGATTTTGCTTGTATGATTAGTTAGGCTCCATGTGCCTGGCCATTTCTCAAATTGTCCTAGCATAATATGCACATATTCAGACTTATCTGCTCCATCCCATTCTTTCTAATGGTCTGCTCTCTAAACCATGGATTACCTAATTTACTGTGGAGTAAAATGGAAGGAAGACCTTCTCTGAAATCAGTGTATGATTTCTTACATCATGCGTTTCCATTTAGCTAACAACTCTGCCTGTACTAGAACGAAGTGTCCCATGTCATAGAACTAACTACCCTGTATCAAAATTACCTATGTATACAATCTCCTCCAGTAGATCATAAGCCTTTCGAAGCAAGAACTGTGTCTTGTTCATATTTCATTAATTCCTTCATGAAATGACTTAGTTAAATACATGCTGTGTGACAATCACTTATGCTAGTCAGTCCTTACTTCCTTATTATCTGATAGAATAAACATGTGGTCCGCATATTTCCCATACATTTAATTTTTGAAATAAATTGGTCAGGGAGTGATGGGGAATAGAGAAGCAAGTGAAACTGCTTTCCTTGTTTTACGAGAAAATGGTTTTTGGTGCCATATAGATCTTTCCAAGACCCTTCTTTGTTACGGTTTTGGGTGGGTGTTAAACATCCTGACAGGCTAAGAAGTTGAGCTTTATTGTGCTCTGTGGCTTCCTTTTCAGAAATGGGCAAAATTTCTTCGTGATTTTGAGAACTTCAAAGCTGCTTGTGTCCCATGGGAAAATAAAATCAAGGCAATTGAAAGTAAGTGTTCACTGCATCGTTAAATGGAGAAGGTTGTGTTAGAGAGATGTCTCCAAACCTTACAGAGGCCTTTTTTGGTTTGTGGACTCTTGGAGGTGACTAAAGCCAAAAAACCACAAAAAAAAAAAAAAAAAAAAAAAAAAAAAAAAAGCAAGCAAGAAAGAAAGAAATCCAAAAGCTTTTATGACTCCTTTGATCACTGTGAAACTTCACTTGCACTTATCATGGACAGTGCTGGTGACTCCACACATCATGTCCTGCTGTGAACCAAAATATTCTATCTCTCTTGCATTCACTCTCTCTGCCTCTTTAAAAACATTTCTTTTATTGATTTGAGATGAAGAGACACAGAAGGTGTGAGACCCCATCTTCTGATTCACTACACAAATGCCCATAATGGTCAGGGAAAATGCCTCTAATGGCTGAAACTAAAGCTAGAACCAATCCAAGTCTCCCATATGAGTGGCAGGAGCCCAATAATTTGAACCATCACCACTGCCTCCTTGGAGTCAAACTCAGGCATCCTGATGTGAGATGGGAGCATCCTAACTGGCATCTTAACCACTAGGTCAGATGTCTACCCCAACATTCTCATTCTGACCTCGCTTTCTCTCCTACATGGTAGGGAAGTCAGTATTATATATGATACTGTATACAATGACATTGAGTCATATTATTTATTTTGACAAATGACCATGACATTTAAATATATACTCTCATGAATGTTACACTATTATTTAAAAATGCTTAAAAAGAGTATGGTGTGGCAGTCATTGTGGGGTGGGAAGTTAGGCTGCCACTGTGACACTGGCATCCCACATTAGAGTGCTGTTTGAGTCTATTGCTAATCTGCTTCCAATCCAGCTCCTTGCTGATGTGCCTGGGAACTCATGGAAGGTTACTCACGTATTCAAATTCCTGCCACCCATGCAGGAAACCAGGATGGAGTTCCAAGCTCCTGGCTTCTGGCTTCAGCCTGGCCCGGACTTGGCTGCTGTGACCATTTGGGGAGTGAACCAGATGCTGGCTGAATTGGAAGCTAAGTGGCTAGGACTGGAACTGGTACTCTGACATGGGAAGCTGGTATCACAAGTGGCATCTTAATCCACTATGCCACACTGCCAGCCCCCAAACTTCATTTTCAAACCCCTGAAGTAGAATAGCAATAATCATCCAGAACTCGCTATCAGAATATTAATATTATGCTTTCATTTTGTACAGTATACATAGTATACAATGAAGGAAAGAGAATAAAAAACCTATTTATTGCAGTACTTTAGGCTTGAAATAAAGCAAACAATCATTTAAAAAATTGTAATAGAATAATAAATCATTTTGAAACATAATAAAAGTGTGAAGAAAAAGGGATAACATTTGAAACAATTTTGAATACAATCTTGCCATATTCCTGTTTTTAATAGATTTGGCAAGGATCTGATTTTTATCCATCCCTCTGGTTCAAAGACCAGTTTTCTCCTAGTAAAATGTGGTGTTACATCATTAAAAGGGAGGCTCCACATGGAGATAGCGTAGCCTATAGATGTTTCCCTGACATGAGTGGGCATGTTTGTACTACCACTCAGTTCTCCATCTGTCATTATTAAATGGTAATGAATTAAAATACAGCAGCTCACCCCTCCTACACATTCCTTGTAGCATCCTTTTCTTTCTTGCTTGCTTTATTTTCTGCTTAACATTTATCACTACCTAGACTTTGAATTTTTAATTTAATTTTGTAATGTAGCCTCATTTCATTTTCATTTTCCTCAATAGGCGTGAAAGCAGTGTTTTTTTTTGTTTGTTTGTTTACTTACTCTTGGATCTCCCATTGCATTAATAAATATATGTTGAATAAAATTACAGATGAATTCTCCAAATGTCTAGTATTCTGGGAAATAGAAGAAGGAATTTAGATACTTCAAAAGGAGTGTACATTATAGGATTCTTATGTTTCAAGTACACAGCTAAAACGTGGTACCTTGAGAGGCATTAATTCTTATGGGCCCTTGTCTACAAATTTAAGAAATGAAGGAGCTGACTCCTGATCAGTTATAAGGTACGTGAGGGACTTCAGAAATTCATGAAAAATGTCATGCTTGTGTTCCTCAAGTGGGAGAGGAGCAGATGGAATTGTTTTTATTGGCAGAAATTGCACCCAGGAGCGAGTTACATGCATGACCAGCACTCATCATGACTGTCACGATGGGAAGGACAGATTGAGAGCTACTTAGTCACACCTTCATTCACCTTTTTCCTTCCACTTGTACATTCAGAGAAGCCCAGCTGGACAGTTAAGCAAATGTAGTTTATCTTTCTTTTCATATTTCTTTTTTTTTTCATATATATTATTTGTTCAGTTTGTCCTGACTTTCTTTTTTTAAGATGAGCAAATTTCATGTATTTCTTATATACATACTCCCACACACCTCCTCCTTCCTTTCTTAATCTTTCTTTTAATTTTTACAATGACATACTTTCAGTTCATCTTATAATCATAAGATTAACCCTCCACTAAGTAAGAATTCAACAACTAGTAAGAAAAACAGTGTTCCTCAACAGTAGAGACAAGGGCTGTAAACAGTATGGTATTTGCCCCAGCTGTAGAGAATTCACCTTTATATTCTTTTCTATCAACAATCTCCACGTAAGCCATTTACTGATTATCACTATGAGTCAGGCACTGTACACACTTTCCACTTAATTATTAATGTGTCTGAAATATGTACATTAGCCTTCATATTTTTATGATTGTGATCATGTAATTATTCCAAAATTATAGCAGAGCTGAGCTATAAGGCAACGTCTATCTGGATTCAAAGTTTATGCTATTTTTTTCACTTTGAGGGAGACTTTGCAAATATTTTTATTTTGAAATGTATTTTGTTGTATTTCCTGAGGATGATTTGATCAGGTTATTGATAAAATGAGCAATTATATATTTCTTTGACAGTAATTCTAATCAGGGAATTATTTCCCATTTTATCATGTGTTACTTTTCTTTTAAAAAACATTTTATTTATTTATTTGAGAAGTAGAGTCACATACAGAGAGAGGGAGGCACAGCTCTTTCAATCACTGGTTAAGTCCCCAAATAGCCGCAGTGGCTGGAACTAGACCAATCTGAAACCAGGAGCCAGGAGTTTCTTCTGGGTCTCTCATGCAGGTGCAGAGGCTCAAGCACTTGGGCCATCTTCTACTGCTTTCCCAGGGCATAGCAGAGAGCTGGATCGGAAGTAGAGCAGCTGGGACATGAACATGGGATGCCGATCCCTTGCGGGAGGCTTAACTTACTATGCCACAGTGCTGGCCCCCTCATGTATTACTTTTGATCCAGTTATTTAATTATATATTTAATGCTCGCTAAGATGTCTAATGTACCAAAATTTTAATGAGTATTGTAACTATATGCTTTTGAGCTTTTGTACAAGTTAAAAAGTATGAGGCCTGTGTAAGAATACATTTTTAGAGCCATTGGGTGGAACTAGCCATCTTGTACACCAAACACAGGGAAAGCATGTGTTTACAACAGTCTTTCAGCTGAACTGAATGGAAAATGGGAATAAATGAGATGTGGAATAAATTTTCTAGAGGTTGAGACCTTTCCCCCCTAGTAGGAATACAGTTATATTGCTCTATAGTTAGAGCAATTCCTTCACAACTCTTGCCCTCTGTTTCAATAAAATCTTGGATTTCTGTGAAATCCAGTCATTCAAATAGTTACTATAGAAAGTCATTTTCAGCACAACATTCTATACTATGTAAGTTACAATCTATTCTAGATGTATATGTAGGCATGTGAAATTCTTTATATTTTTGAGTGATAAATTATTGAAATATTTACATGGAAAATATATATATACTGAGAGGCCTTCTCAAATTCTTTTCAGAATAAAGTTGGTTAAATATAAGTATGCATGTACCCTATTTATGAAAAACATATATAATTATAAAACTAATATAATTACTTTTAAGGAAACAACTATTTAATCTTATGAAAACTTCAGAAATATTAATTTCTAATAAATGTCAGAATCATCAAAAATATATCTCATTTAAATAGAATGAGCTTTCATTATTGATTAATAAATAAGCAAATTCTTACTGAGTTCCTGTCATTCATGCTCAAGGTCTTTTTCTAGGCACTATGACTATTGACAAAGACAAAGACTTTTCCCTCATTGAACTTACATATAAATGTGTTAAGAAGGACATGGTCAGGTAGGAATGATCATAAATAAAAACAAATAGTGAAAACGATTATGAATTGTAAGTGGTTACTCCATATCCAATAATCTTTCTAATCATCTTTGTCCTCACTCTCTTTCAATCTCTAAATAAATAGGGAAAGATATTTTAAAATTTATTTTAAATATATTCTTGTTAATTTATGTAAGAGGTGAAGATAGAGAGGAAGAGAGCTGTTATCTACTGGTTCATTCCCCAAATACCTGTGATGGTAGGGCAGAGGCCAAAGTGAGGACCTGGGAGCCCAGAGCTCATTCCAGGTCTCCAATGTAAATGGTAGGAACCCACTGCTTTATCTGAGAGTCTGCTTGAGCTGCAAGCTGGAGTCAGGTGCTGGTACCAGGAATTGAACCCAACTACTCTGATTTGGGATACAATCATTTTAATTAGCATCTTAAACTCTAGGCTAAATGCCCACTATTGAACAGCTTTTTAATGTGGCTTTAAGGGAACAACAATTTTATCAACAATCATTTAACAAATTTACTGAATTTACACAATGCACTGTCCAGTATTTGGCAGAATCAAGAGTGGGTCTTAACCTAATGAATGGGGAAAAGTTGGAAGCATTCCCACTGAGATCCAGAACCAGACAAGGATGCCCACTCTCACTATTGCTATTCAATATAGTCCTGTAAGTTTTAGCCAGAGTCATTAATCAAGAAAAAGAAATCAAAGGAATACAAATTGGGAAGGAGTAAGTCAAACTATCCCAATTTGCAGATGACATGATTCATATAATGGATCCAAAAGAC